CTCGACATCTCGTTATCGACGTAATATACTCCGCTGCCTGAGGCGGCAGGCCCGCCTCTATATCGCTACTACTACCGCTGCCACTGTCGCAAGTCTCGCCGTCGCGACTCCCGTCTCCTTTACGAATCTGCCTTTACCCCTTCAAAATAGGTACGATTATTAATCGCGAGCGTACGATACGTATACCTATATATAAGATAATCGGCTTCTACGAGTAGCGAGGCAGATTCGTAGGGGAGAGTCGTAATAGTAGTAGCGACGTAGCGTCGCTGCGACACAGAGGTAGCGAACTTCGAAGTATTTTACGTCGATAACAAGAAGTGGACTTAGCGGAGCTGCGGAGGTAGGTATATTACGTACTGTCTGGGTGAGTTACGTCTAGGGCTGCGGTTAGACGAATCCAAGGGCTGCCCATAGCCTCGCCGTCACTTCGGTCGCACCACGACCGTTTGGGCCACGTCTGCCACAAGTTTCATGCGAGATCCACATTGTACCCTTGCCAGTTGGAGAAAGTCAAGCTGAGGCCTCCGCTAAAAAATCGGCTCGGCGTGGCCCTGGTGGCGGTGTGGTGGGATGCACTAAATTGATTGTTGACGACAGCATCGTGCGCGCTCCCCTTTCTCGACGCACCCTCTTATTGCTGCTGTAGACATTCGTTTGCGCTCTCGCACTCCTCTCGCACACCATCTCACCCACCTCTCACCCTCAGCGATTCACCATGGCACCAACGCACAAGCGGCAGATTTCCAAGGCCAATGGCAAAGAAGTGTAAGTGCCGCTCGCAACCCCACCACCACTGGAATTCCTACCCTCGAGCACAAGGAACAACATCTGGGATTCGTCCTGACGCGCCGCCGTGATTAGGGATGTTGATGTCCTCGTGATTGGCGCTGGCCCCACGGGTCTGGGAGCTGCAAAGCGTCTGCAACAGATTGTAAGGGGGACGTCCACGGGCACATACACAGCAGCAGTGGTATTGATCGTAGCAGGACGGCCCATCGTGGTTGATTGTGGACAGCAACGAGGTTGCCGGCGGTCTCGCATCCACCGACATCACGCCAGAAGGCTTCGTGAGTGCTCCAACCGCTCCTGATTGAACCGGGCCCACGTACTGACAATCTCAGCTCTACGATGTGGGTGGCCACGTTATCTTTTCCCACTACAAGTACTTCGACGACTGCATCAACGAGGCGCTCCCCAAAGAGGAGGATTGGTACACCCACCAACGTATCTCCTATGTCCGCTACAAGGGTCTCTGGGTGCCTTACCCATTCCAGAACAACTTGTCGGTTCTGCCCAAGGAGGACCAAGTCAAGGCCATGGAGGGGCTGATCGACGCCACTGTCGAGTCAAGAGTCGCAAGCGAGAAGCCAAAGAACTTCGATGAGTGGATTTTGAGAACAATGGGCTCAGGCATTGCGGATATCTTCATGAGACCATACAACTACAAGGTGTGGGCCGTGCCCACTACCGACGTGAGTTTGAGCCTTGCCCGAGACCTGGAAGCGGATGTGGACAAAATGGATACTGACATGCTTGCTCATAGATGCAATGCGCGTGGCTCGGCGAGCGTGTCGCTGCTCCTAATCTCAAGCTGATCACTACCAATGTGATTCTGAACAAGGTGGCTGGCAACTGGGGACCTAACGCCACTTTCCGCTTCCCAGCACACGGCGGCACCGGTAACATCTGGATCAAGGTTGCTGATACCATCCCTAAAGAGAAGAAGATCTTCGGCAAGAATGGTGAAGTCCAGCTTGTGGATGCCGAGAACAAGCGTGTGCTCCTCGGAGACGGCACCACTGTCAACTACCAGAAACTGATCTCGACCATGTCCGTGGACTACCTGGTGGAGGCCATGAGAAATGAGGAGCTCATCAAGCTCAGCAAGGGCCTCTTCTACTCTTCGACCCACGTCATTGGTGTCGGCGTGCGTGGTTCTCGCCCTGAGCGCATTGGCGACAAGTGCTGGCTCTACTTCCCAGAGGACGACTGCCCATTCTACCGCGCCACCATCTTCTCCAACTACTCGCCCAACAACCAGCCCGAAGCATCGAAGAAGCTTGCCACTCAACAGCTGGGAGATGGCAGCAAGCCAACTGACACATCAGAGAAGGAAGGGCCGTACTGGAGCATCATGTTGGAGGTGTCGGAATCCCTCAAGAAGCCAGTGAACCAGGAAACTATGCTCGCAGACTGCATCAAGGGACTCATCAACACCGAGATGCTCAAGCCCGATGATGAGATTGTTTCCACCTACCACCGCCGTTTCGATCACGGTTACCCAACACCGTCTCTCGAGCGCGAGGGTGTCCTTACACAACTTCTGCCCAAGCTTCAAGATCTCGACATCTGGTCGCGCGGTCGTTTCGGCAGCTGGAGATACGAGGTCGGCAACCAGGACCACTCCTTCATGCTCGGAGTGGAGGCTGCCGACAGTATCGTCAACGGTGCCGTGGAGCTTACACTCAACTATCCCGATTTCGTAAACACACGCCAGAACAAGGAGAGGCGACTGGTAGATGGCGCACAGGGCTTGAAGGCCAAGAACGCACAGCAGAACATTGTCAGCTCCAGGTAATCATTCTGCGGGATGATACATGCGTACGCGAAGGTATTCTAGAGGCGACAACTTTTGATTTTTGGGGCATGGACGAACGAGTTGGGCAGGGCAAAATATACCATACAGAAAGCACGTTCTGGCCAGAGGCCGGGTTCCAAAACCTATCCAAATTTCATGGCACAACAGCCGATTTCTGTGGTTGACAAGATCAAGTTTACGCAATGGTATAGGAGAGGTTAGTAGGCACTTGGTCATCCCGACCCGACGTCGCATGCATCGGACCTGGCCACGTGCTGCCATGTGAGCTTTGCTTTGCTTTGCTCTGCTTTGCTGTGCATGGGTGGGTCACTCCGACTGACATACACGCAGCTTCTGCATGGAAAAAAGAGAGACCTCTCATCCTACCTCACTCCAGACACTCACTCTCTAGTGAGATTGCTGCCAGGCAGGCTTCATACACCATATCGTTGCTTTTCTATTTCGGAAGAAAGATTTCCTGAAACCGTCTATCTCCTTGCTTGAGAAGGTGGGATGTAATCAGTCAGACAGTCCTTCTTCTTCTTCTTCTGATAGGTAGGTAGGTAGGTATCCAAGGTATATGTATCTATCAAGACGTCCGCAGACATCATCTAAGGTAGGTAGGTACCTGGTAGGTATCTATCTCAATGACTAACTCCGACAGCAGGAAAAAAAATGGGGGGTTTGACGTAGGAAAACGACAAGAAAGAAGGCTGCTATCGAAAAGGGAGAAAGAAAAAAGAATTGACACGGCATCATATAGGTATGATACCATCTATCTATCTATCTATCTGGCAGCAGTAGGCGATAGTTTTGGACTCCATCCCTCCCTGATTGATACAGTGAGTGTCTCAGCAATGTATCGATCTCTTAATCTCACGTCAAAGCACGAAAGAAGCCCAGCATTCCCACGTCTGGTCTCTCTCTTTCTCTCTCTATCTTGTATCAGCAACAATCATCAATTGGCTCGACAACCCCCCGGCAGGCTTTAGCAAGGTTCGGCAAGATGAGATTTCTGACGACGACGAGGACGACAATTACGACGACGACGACGACGAGGGACAAGTCCCATGCGTTTGTTCCCCCCTTTGCAAGTTGGTAGGTAAGAGTGAGAGGGAGAGGAAGACAAAGAAGACTTTTCCCAGCCAGAGAAGAGCGCAAGTATAGACCACTCAACTCCTCCTCCTCCTCCTCCTCCCTCTTCTCAATCGCAGCTATTGCTGATCTAGCAGTAGTCTATAACATAACACAAGTCTCACCGCGTAAAGAGCGAGCACCTCTCCCCCACATTATCGTCGACGTGTTTGTCCAAGCCCAGCTGGTATACAGGTATCTTCCACACCTCACATAGCCTTGGAAGAAGAGTGTTGGTCTGGCGAACGCTGGCCCACTAAGAGGTACAAGACTCGCAGCGACGGGCTTGCCGATGTAGCCAGCTAGCTAGCTGGGCGGGACAGGGATAGCGAAGATTGAAGCCGAGACGGATGTATCAGCGAGGACGAAGATGCTTTCAGGCTGGATACGAGGTGTCTGTCTGTAACCAGTTGGACTTTTGCAGACGGAGAACCTAGTTGTCAGAGAGTAGGAGGAGGAGGAGGAGGAGGAGGAGGATGAACGAAATCGTATTCAACGAGAATGGCCGGCCACGTGGTCTGGCGAATATGTCAGTGAACAACAACTACCTAGGTATGTATGTATCACTAGTAGCACTTGAAGTGCATCATCCAGTGGTGGAGACCACGCTCCCAGTGAAAATCTCTTAGAGACTCAGTATACTAGCTAGGCAACACCTCGATAGTATCCGTCTCCGTATAGCAAGCACCTCTTCCAATTGCCTCGGGTATGCATTGAGGTAGTATTTCCAACAAGCCACAACGGCGGCGCCTCAAAAGCACGGCAGGAAGAGCACGACTCAGAGAAATCTTCTCAGACCCTTTTACCGAGTGTGTGCTCCGACGGTAGGTAAGCAGTTGCTTCCTCTTACGCCTGTACGGGTATGCTTCTACAAGTTCTCTTATTAGAGCTCTCTCTCTCTCTCTCTCGATCGGAGATTTTCTGACTCGGAGAGTCTGCATACATTTGTTGCATGTATATGAGGGTAATGATATCGTTCAACGGATTGCCGATTTAGTATCGTATCGCACGCAGCTTTGACTCGGTTCGTAAGAGCGGGACAACTCGGAGGTCTAACGTCTTTTTTTTTCTATCTCTATCTTAACTCTCTAGTGGTGACTACTGGTGAGGAGACAAGATAATCTGTTACAAAGTCGTTAAAGTCAATAGTCCTCCTCCTCGTGATGGACAAAGACCGAAACCCCTCTTTTCTTTATATCACTGAACTGACTGAATGAATGACTATAGGTAGGTAACCATTCAACAATAATGATAACAACAACGGACCCTAACATTATGATAAAACCAAAGCCACATCATAAGCACCTACCTAAACCAGCAGCTGCAACCAAACAAAAAAACAAGCCTAGGTAATCGTATACTACAAACTTCCCCCGACTCAAGTAACCAAGAGTATACATGTCTACCTACAAGTACATAATCATTAGCGTAAAGAGAAAAACAAGAAAAAAAGTAGCATATGCCAAAAAAGTACAAAGCCTACTCAACTCACTAATGTACATGTACAGGTAAGGTAGTCAAGTCACCTTACTCAGCGTCTCGCATATGTAAATGCGTCGTGTGGATGCAGTATGCAGATACATTACTCATTGTTGTACATTGTAGAGATACAAACGCCTACAAACGTTTTGTATCTCTACTATCCTTCTTCAGCTGACTAGATTGCTGGCTTGGGGTGGCTTGGGGTGGCTTGTTGGGGTGAAGAAAGGAAAAAAAAACCCCCTCTTCCTCGAACCCTTTCTTACCTACCTGTCGTTGTTGTTATTGTCGTGCTCGTTGTCTTGGGAGGATGAAGTATAGTATATCAGAGTAAAAGAGATATAGATACTTTTTTACTCTTAGGTACCTACCAGGTACAGATCCATTACCTAAGGTATTTCACTTCACCTTTACATTACCGCTTCTCCCATCACACACTACACTACACTACACTTACATCCGAGGTACATCATCCATCATCCATCATCCACTATCCATCATCCACCTAGGACGCAAAATACATGTACATTCCAACGTTACATCCAAACACCTACCTCCCCTCCCCTCCCCTCCCCCATCTCATCTCCAGAGCAACAACCCGCAAAAAAAGACTCCAATCCCCCCTCCTCTCAAAACATACTATAAACATCCATAGACGCAATACCTGCATAACTACCTACATATGCATACACCTACCTGCATACCTGCATATTATCTCTAGGGAAACATCCTGCATAACCTGCCTGCCTGCACTGAATACACACAGACACACCTGCATATGCATATGCATGCATGCAAGCTCACCAACGAGTCAAGGAATTCAGGTTCTGGTTCTGGTTCAGGTGTGTACAGTACAGTGTACATATGCAGTGCGGGCACGGGACACCCGAATGCCCGGCTTATGGGTATGTAAAGTACGGAGGATGTAGGTAGCATAGTAGGTAGGTGGTACGGGTAATATGGGTAGTATGGTGGATATATGGGGAAACGAAAAAAAATGAGAGACAAGAAGTTTGAAAAAAGATCAAGTCCCCACTTTGCGGGAGAATTTCTCGTGGGTGGGAAAACGGGGACGGGGACGGGCTGCTGTTGAGGCGTGTGAGCTTTTTAGTGGGTCCGGATCCAGCTAGAGAATGATAGAGAGACAGAGAGAAAATTGATGGAATGGGTGATATTCTTCTCAAAGAAAATAGCTCAATTCGAGATGGATTGATTGGATTGATCGAGACATTAAGGCAAAAGACACTGCCAATTCACCCCCACACACACAACTTCTGCTGCATTAGCAGCCAATACAAGTACCTAGTACAACAAGCCTCCCTTCTTCTATGAAGGTCGTGCCTGGCTCCCAATCGGTTTGGTACATGGTGGTAATGTACATAACGCCTTGCGTTCTTGGAGGTTACTATGTACAATTTGTTGGTACAGCGGGTGGGTTTCTTCCGAAACTCCATGCGACCAATCCTTAATGCTCTGTACAAGCTAAAGTTTCAAAACTGTTGCAAGTGCAGTGATGCAAGTCAGGCGTGGATCTCTGCAATCCCGCACTGATGGATGGCGGTGAAATGGTGTGTCGATGCCTCTCAATGGTGAGAAATTTGAAAGTAGACAAATTTGCGCTCTGTCTGAAGATGCGTGGAAGCTCCGGATGGTGATTGGTTCCGGGCTGTTGGAAAAGAGGTTTCGTTGTTGCAGGAAAGACAATGGCTTGGGGAAATCAGGCCGGGAATGGTGGGATGCTGGGTATCGTTGCACTTTGCCAACGGTCACTTCATCGACGTGCCGCGGTCTTTGATCGTAAGAAAACATAATCTGAAGAGAAGGTGACGGAAAGGTCGATATCGCATGCTGAGAAATCCGAGTACTGGTCGCCGCCAACACCTTGCCGGTAAGAGGGTAGCCAGATTGATCTGGCTCGCTTGAACGCCACAGGTTGGCTCGCGAAAGAAAAAGAAAAAAAAAGGTCGCGGCCCAGAAATCGCATTCAGACAATGCAGGGACGTCAAATGCATCCTGCTTCTTCAGTAAGAGGCCATGCGACGTTGATATGACATGCCGATGCCTTCTGCAATGTCGGTGCCGACGTTGAAGGTGCTTTGCGATCGTGCTCCCAAGGTGCGTCCAAGCGCAGTGGGTGAGTCTTCCATATCATCGGAAGTACTACCAAACGCGAAGGTTTGGTTTCGGAACAGCTTCTGGCGCGGTTGTTGCTTAACCTTGGCCATGCCACGCTCACAAGCCATCTCGTGGCGCTGATCGTTCATCTCCACATAATTCTGTGGGAAGCACTTGGAAGGGTTCTCGGTAAAGAACTTGCTGTATCCACCATCAAGGATATACATCTCTGGATAGGTGAGGTTGGGATAGTTGGCGGCATTGACAGTCCGGTCGTGGCCGCGAATAAACTTTGCGGTAAGGGGTGCACGGTGCACCGAGTACTCACAGTGGAAGATGAGCAAGGTATTGGCGGAGGGCACGTTCTGAGCGAAGAGCTCGTTGGCCAGATGTTGCTTGTCGTTGAAGTTGACTGCACTCTCAATGTGACCTCCTTCGTATTCATACTCAAATCGACAATCGACGACCAACACACGATCATACTTGTCCGCATACTTTTGATCCAAGACATCGAGCATGGTCTGCTGAGAGATTCTGGGTAAGCTTTCGGGCTCGTCGGCAGGCACAAAGAATGGTAGCTTGTGGGTGGAGTCCTGCTCAATGTCCATGGCGGACGATAGACTGGGCTGCGACTCAAAGGTATCCTGCTCCTCTTTCATGATGTCGTCGGGATGTTGAAACATGCTTAATGATCTTCGGATGAGCTTCCTCTGCGGGCGTACAAACGCAGGCCGTCCGGCCAAGGGCTTTCGTACATGACCACCAGACGGTGAGCCATTGCAGCGGTTGGCGTTGCTAACAGATGATTTCCGCGATGGCGGCAGCATCGAACCAAAGCCGGACGGCCGTGGGTCATCCACCGGCGACTCAGTGGAGGTCTCTAATAGACTGGGCGTCGACGAGCATGACAAGCCTGATTGTGCGACATTGCCGAACCGAAAGGGCGGTAGTTGGGTCTCAGCAGTGGTGGGTCGCTGGGGAATGTGAGTGGTGGAGAGACCTTTTGCTCGGGAGAGTCCTGGGCGTGTGACGGGTCTTCGACGTCTGCCGAGACAATGTGAGTGACAATCTCAATTCGTGTTGATCAGCACCAGTGACTTACTCTGGGAAGTCGGGGACGGCTGGAGCTGGGAGGGGCTGCAGCACTGCTAGTTCGGGTACTTGATCGGGGGACAACAGATCTGGGGACAGATCGGTATCTGCACTGGGAGTGGCCTCGGGTGAGGGAGAAGGAAGGGTGAGCTGGAAACAAGGAGCTTTGTGTGGCAATGGCGAGATGTCCATGGACTCAAAGTAGGGCGAGGACGAGGGGATGATGGGTGGAGTCGTGGAAGGGTCAATCTCAATCGGTGGAGTGGCTATGCGTGCTTGCCGGGTTAGCAAAAGTGGCACCTGGGTAGTCATTCGGAATTTGCATGTCGGCACTGACCAAGAGCATGTTGGCGGGGCCTGAAGACATCCTGCGTGAACAATGAACGACGGGGTGTCGGAGCTTGTGGGCTGAGAAGTTCACATTGTCAGTATGGGTGCATGTCGGCCACTCGACGCGAGGAATGCGGGTTACCTTTTATCGATATGGAAGTTGGCGTCTAGATCGGCAGTGAGGCTCGCAGTAGGAGATGAACCGCGCACGGGACGCAGAGAGAAGTAGTCTGGCCGGCGAGGCTTCTCACGGGCCATGTGCATGCTCATGGTATTGAAGTCGAAGCTGTTGGGGCTAAGCGTTTGGCACCCATGGTACATCGAACGGCTGCCTGAGAGATCTTTCCGGCCTCCCCATGCAGGCACTGGTTGCGGACGCATTGCCGCGAGCGGCGATGAGTATTCCATGCTGGATAGCGGTATACGGGTATATGCAGGGCACTGCGAAGGCGTGAAGTCGAATATGTGTTGTGGGCGTAGGTTTCGTGGTGGATGGGTGGGGCGTGTGTCGATCGAGTTTGGGCGGGATGGGCAAGGTAGGTACGGTCGGTAGGATGTAGGTACGGTAGGTAGGTACGATCGGTACGGTCGGTAGGAAGAATGGGATATGAGAGCTGCAGCTGGTGGAAAAAGTCGAGCGTGGAGGAGCGAGGTACCAAACCAATGGCTGCTGCTGTAGCTGCGCTTTCCAACGCGTGCTTGTCGGTGGTGTCTGTCCAAGGAAGGAGCGTCGAGGGTGGGAGATGGACTGTTGAGTGGTTCTTCACGCCGGGTGCATGAAGAGCGAGTGAGCGTGCGGGCGTGCGGGCGAGCGGTGGTGGTCGCGGTCGTGGTGGTCGTCGTCGTCCGGAGTTCAAGTCCAGCGGCACGCAGTGGTTATAATGCCTGACCAGGTCCAGTTCCAGGCCAGTGCAGGAGTCCGGTCCGTGTGTCCCTCGGTGATCTCGCGAGTAGGAAGACGGACAACCTTACTCTGGCGGCGTGTTCCACTTGCCCAACCTGTCGACCTGGACGAGAAATGTTGCGGTGGTGGTCGAGCAGGTCAGGTCGGGTCAGGTCAGGACAGGACAGGACAGCGCAGTGCAGTGGCAGCACCAACGAGGGAGAGGTGGAAGCATAAAGGCTTGCTCGCCAGCTGCAGCGTCGTTGCTATTCGCAACAACCGACCCTCTGGCAGACGACGCACGACCCCCACCTGCGAGCCTTGCGCGCTAATGCTGCAGCCCCAATCGCGGTCAATTGATCAATGCGCTGCCACAGGACGACGACCTTGTCGAAGCGTGTGGTGAGATCCGCTTTCGGATACCGAGCGCGCTTCCCAGTGATCGAATGGGACGACGTGTTGTCCATGTTCCTGCGGTGATGTCTTCGCGATCTGCGACGCCATTAGAGACTGCTACAGCGTGAATGCTTGTTGGGGCCATCGTCGATGGTTCTGCACACTTGCACAGTGCACCACCAAGCGGCACACGCCCGCCCGAGCCCTGCCTACGTAGAGCGCCCCATTATTATTATTACCTACACACTACTACAGTATCTACCGATTCAACCTATACCTCCGTATGTCGAGAACGCGAGAGAGGAATCGGGTACCGAGGAATGCCTCGTCCATGCGCACGCAGGCACGCAGAGTGCAGCGTGCCGCGTTCCACAGCTGCTCACCAGGCCAACTCTGTGCTCGGGATTGCTAGCCTGCTGGATGGGATGCCCGGCAAGGAACAATGGTTCTCATGCCCTCCCGTACATTATTACCTATCCTCCATGCGTCTTCTAGGTTGTACACACCACTCCTGACAGTCCCCGGCCGGAGATAGTACCTACATTGTATCCTGACTTGCCATACTCATACTGACAATACCCGACAGTCCCTACTGACATAGGTACTGACACCAGATTACACCAAGTTACATGTAGGTACGTACAGGTACATTGAACAACGCCGGTGGTAAATACAGTCAGCAGCCATGGTCTCATCCTACATGGACATGCAGTATTATGCCTACTAAAGTACTACTATTACCGCCCATTATATCCTATTTGTGACTGAACGCATAGCTAGCCGCTGGGCTTCTGATAACGGCACATGCTGCGATGCCTCCTCCTTCGCTACGAGGTAGAACTAGGCGGTATGGTGATGTCTCTACTCATGATAACTTGCTTTCGCCTCCAAGAGGGTTTCAGCCGTTTCTCTTGGGCACAGTCGAACAAACGCACCCCACTTTGCCCGCCCTGCCTTGCTGTTCGACTATCCAACACGAACGGTGACCAACCTTTCCAATGCCTGTCTCTTGACGTTTCTGATGCGATTCATCAGATCAACATCATCAGCATCATCGTCCACCGGGCATAGCCGTCGGGCGGCGCAGTGGGCTCCATCATTGGCGGTGGTAGTCCCCGGGCTGGGGCATTGTGGCTGTCTCGCGTGGGACTCTGCTGCATTTCCACGATCATGCTAGCCTGCATCGATTTCGACACACTTTTCGCATCACCGATTGATACGTCATATTCGATTGCGCTTTCACTGAGCCACATCACTGAGCAATTCCTCTTCCGGTCGATACGGATGTTCGTAGTTTACGCGAGCTAGCTTTCTCGGGCAATCTGGATCCTGTCGGAGATGGCATTTGCAGCAGTAGTTCACGATATAGTCTGTAGCCACCACCACCACCAACAACAACAATAACAATAACAACAAGTTGTAAGTTGTGAGAGCTTGATGAGGGGCGCCGGGATGGCCGAACTGCCAAGCCTTCTTGGAGTTTGTTTCGCCCGCACGGGACTAATAAAGGTACTGGAGTCTACTCTGTGTTGCTGCGTGCTCTCGTTCTGTCCCGTCTGTCCCGTCTGTGCACATACACACGGGAACAACTTTACAAGTTTTTATACAACTTCTGACGCCCCCATCCAGAGTTCGTTATTGTGGCAGACGCTCGCTCGCTCACTAGCTCACTCATCAGTGCATCTGTACCTAGTACGGTAGGTACATGTATTCGGTACATGTATTCGACTAACATCACATGACGCTCACCGCAGAAACACCTCCTACACACACATACATGTACTTACCTGAGATAAGGCAGGTAAGGTATACATGTATATGCACAGTGATAACGTACTCCTAGTACTCCTACTGTATGTCTCACACATCTGTATCAGCATTCGCATGAGACTTCCATCCACGGCGGCCTTGTCCAGGTGACTGATCGCACAGGCACAGCTCTACAGGGCCTATCTACTAGGCCATGTGACGGCGGCGCGCCAGGATTGGCCTGTATCACTCCGGAACGACGTGTTGTAGACGTGTCTGGGCTCTCTCCCTCTCTGGGGTGGGCTCGTCCTCGCTTCACGGTGTGCCACGGCTGTTGCTCGAAGGCACGTGTTGCTAGACATTCCGTTGCTGGTCGTTGCTATGTTACAGCACCTTACTTACATGTATGTACGTACCTCCTACGCTGTTTTTTGCCTGCTTGGGCCTCCCGCCTGCCCGCCTGGGGCCTCTTAATTCTTCCTCTGCCAATTGCGTCCCATCATTATGGCCCCGGGGGCATGTTTGCCTGCCACTCGTTCATTTCGCGTGTCTGGGCCCCATTCTTATAAAAAGGAAAAAGAGGTCATGGTGCCTCATCGCGCTCCGCTCGGCGACTGCTAACTCATCTTTCCCACACACACGCACACACTACGAGAGAAACCCGCCTCGGGTATCTATGGACTCCTTGCAGGCTCTGTGCAGTCTTTTTTCTCTCTCCTTTTTACCCAGCGGCCAGCGAAAAAAACTACCCTGAAACATTGACCGACGACTACCTGTAGATGGGGATAATGCTGACGACTACTCGGAGCTTTTTTTTTTTTAATCTACCATACAAGTGGTAGTTGTAGAACACCCCCTCCCTCCCTCCCTCCCTCCCTCCCAACGAGCCAGACCGCCTTACTTTTTTATTTTGTGCACTGTTCTGTAGCAACAACCGGCTCGAGTGACGACTAGGCTCCCCGTTGCCGGAGCATCACAGACAAGACACAGACACAGAGCAATGAAGGGGAACCGCGCTGCTCTACTGCTGGACCTTGCGCTACGTTGTCAAACGTCGGATCATCTTCTTCAGCCTCCGATTCGATGGCTTGGGATATAGAGTCCGGGTCGGTCTTGCATCTGGGGACAAAGATTTATGTACAATCTTCTTACACGCACACAGACACACACATACCTCTCTGTGAGGGGGGAACATGTATACACACAACAGTTAAACCCTACTAGTCTGTGCTGTGCCCTTCTATATCCACTATCCCGACCACCCGCGTACTGTATGGTTCGTCGAGAGGCGTAGAGACTCTACCTCCGTACCGGTTTTTTTTTCTTCCTTTCCCTTGTCTCGAACAGATAGAGGAGGTAGAGGGAAAATACGTTTTTTTGTTCCGTGTCGGTACCAGAAAAAAAAAGAGAGTGATAGACACGGTGCAACGTCGCCAACGACGTTTTATTTTTTTCCTTCTCTGCACACGCGGCCTTGCAGCCAACACGTGGTCGACTGGAGACATGTCTTTGTGAAGGAAGGGAAGAAAGAAAGGGGGAGGGGGGTGTCTGATGGACCATGGCGGACTTTCCGGTTGCTAAGGTCAGGTATTGACGTACCTGTACAGGCTGTACTGTAGGCTGGATCCTACGACCTTACGTACCTTACCTACTCATATATCGTGTCATCAAACAAGAAAAAAGACATGCTACATACACTGCAGCTAGGGGGTAATGTAAGGTAATGCACCTACCTGAGGTAAGGTAAGGTAAGGTACATGTAGGTAGGATGATGTTCCCGCCGATATACGCAGCAGCTACAGCAGCAGCAGCCAACTACCACAACAACAAAACATCCCGTCGTCATCATCATCAACAAACAACAAACAACAACAACAATACCAATGACATGTACCATCATCACCGTAGTCCGTCCATAGCAAGGTAAAAGTAAAAAGTAAAAGGTAAAGGTAAGGTAAAGGTTCCACATCGGTCGGCCTTTGCACACATCACATCATGGCCCTGTACTACTTGTACTGACTTACTACGAAGGAGGGTAACAAAAACCCCGATCCGAGATGCCAAACGTATGACATATAAGACGAAAAAAAAATAAGAAGTCTAGGGCGATAAGGTATGGGCTTCAATCGTAGCGCTGAGCTGAGCTGATTGTTACGATCACGACTACATACACTTGATAAACTCCGAAGTCGTCGCGCGATCACTATCCCGTTAAGAAAGATCAGATCAGATCAGATCAGATCGATATGTCTAGTCTGATCTTGTCTTGAAAAAGGAAAGGAAAGGGAAGGGAAGGAAAGGTCCTGATCATCGAGAAAAAATCAAAAGTATATCTGGGGTTAGGTTAGGTTAGATGATGTAGGCAGCTAAGTTATATTTTTTATGTCATTATATGAAGATACAGGTACTTGGTTGTATGTATATGTAGATTCCGAGATGTACGGACAGACTGACTGACAGACTGACTGACAGACAGACAGATAGGCAGACAGATAGGGCTTCTGGCTTGGCTTTCATCGAGATATGAACTTGGGTTTTCCTTGGACTTGGACTTGGGAGGGAAATCGGGATTGTTTTAGAGATCTGGGGATTTTGGACTCTGGCTTTATAGGTTGTTGTTGATTTGGAACTGCTTTTTAGGCAGGTTGTAGAGACACACACATATACAGAGAGAGAGAGAGAGAGAGAGAGAGAGAGAGTGTGTGTGTGTGTATGTGTAGTAAGAGAGAGAGAGAGAGGGAGAGGGAGAGGGAGAGGGAGAGAAAGACAGAGAGAGCTACTTGATATATGTAGGTATCTCCAAGTATCTTCTCTAGCTAATATCTCTAGGTAGGTATGTCTTCAGATCTTCAATAGTACTAAGAACGCTACAACTACTCTAGACTTTAGTATTATACTTAGTAGAGAGGTAGTACGTCTGCGGTAGCCTTACTCGTTCTTCCTCTTCCTCTTCCTCTTCCTCTTCCTCTTCCTCTTCCTCTTCCTCTTCCTCTTCCTCTTCCTCTTCCTCTTCCTCTTCCTCTTCCTCCTTCTCCTTCTTCTTTTTCTCCTCCTTCTTCTTTACTGTACACTGTTCTCCCTTTCCTAGTCAAGATCAAAAATTCGAGACAAACCTACCTTATTTAAGAGACAACAAAAAACAATAAAAAATCCACGCAATCTCAACGCGCAAGAATCCACGAACGATAACATCGCTCCGCCTACTCTCCTCAGCTAGGTATCTATCCTTAACAAACAGGTAACAAAGTACAAGTCGTCGTAAAAATTAACGAAACTAAACTCCTCCCCCAAACCCTTATTGCTCTCGTTCTTCAAATTTTCCCCTTCGGCAAAGATCTCTTAATAGAAAAGTCTATAGCGAGCCAACGGGTCCTGTATTAGCGCGGCTATATTTCGCTTTGCTCAAATACGATAGATACCTATGTACTAGGTAGGTAGGAAAAGTGTCGATGGATAACGTCGAATTGGTAGTATTCAGTAGTGGTAGTAGTAATCGTCGGCCGCTTGCTAGGAGGTAGTAGTAAGTTAGGATCCAAAGTCTATCGTAAGGCGGGTAGATGAATCAAGGTGCCCGAGCGAGCGAGGAAGTCGACGGGGGTAGAGGTCGCTGAAGGAGTAGAATCTGCTGTTGTTGGACCTTGCGATTCCTAAGAAGAGGGAGGGAGGGGGAGAGAGTCAGGGCTGTAGGGAGAGGTTGCTAGAACTAACCTCAAGTCGCCTGAGATATGCGTACAGCTGAATTGCTTAGCAGGATGAATTGGTGCGAGCGTAGAAGTCGGGGGTAGTTCGCTAGTCTTAGGTCGGGCTCTATAGATCGAATGTCAACTTTGAACTTTGCTGCTTCGATGAGTAGCGACTTGTGTCAGTAGTTAGGTTGGAGAGTAGAGCTGCTGTACTGGAAATAGTAACACTAGTGTAAGATAGAGTCGCGATGGGTACTAGAAGAGGGATAACGTACGCGGACAGGAGATGTTGGTCGCTAGGTTCCGTATAGTAGGTACATAGGTAGACTGGCAGTCCTAGGGAGAGTGAGGAGTATACAAAGTCATCTGCCTTATACAGAGTAAGCTTGGAAGAGAAAACGGTCTGCTTGGTGCTACCGTATAATATCGAAAACCGGTGTTTCTTGTTTGTCGAGCGAGGTAGGTTCAGTATTGATCTTTGTACTACTAAGTCGTTCAAAGGTCGCTTTCGTGGCAATCAGTTCGGATGAGCTTGGATAAACCAGTCGGTGAGAAATGGAGGTAAGATCGAGAGAAACTTCAAGTATTCACTTCTTTCTGCCAGGGATTGGCTTAATCGGGAGTGACAGTCATTTCTACAGGGACGATCGTAAAATCTGCTTTGTGCATAAGACTTGCCTTTATTCATTGAGGTAGCAGCTGCGAGAGAGGCAATACTAGGACTTCTCTTCTTCCACGTAGGGACTGTGAGAATTAAGCAACATTTGGTATTTCCGTACCTTCAGTAGCTCCGCAACTTCAAGCACTTGATCAACGACATTCATGGCCGATGCAACGCTTGGTCCAAATGCCGCACGATCCAGGTATTCTGAATCCATGGTCAGATACCAAAAGTGATGATGACTGACGGAGTACCGCACAAAGTTGGGAGCATTGCCTCTGAAGGTGATTACGAGCGCCTCACGCCGCTTCTGGAAACTTGCTGACTTCGAGTATTTGAGCTGAATAGAACTAGATCCTGTGTTAACATGAGCTTCCGAAACTTGAATTCTGACAGCGAGGGTCACTAGCAAGATTCGGCTACTTTGTTGTCATTCCCCATACATAGGATGCATTGACCAGTTAGCATACTTCGTGTTGGCGAGCAGCTGAGGACGCAATATGAGTGACTGCGGTCCTCAAATACCTAGTGGGTGCCTAATTGTGCAGCCGAGTACATGTGCAACCATCAAATCTCGACGGCTATAGGTATTTGAAGCCTACCTAGAGGTACCTTATGTCTGATTTCCTGGTAGGACTGCACTATAGATGCTAGGCGGCTGCAGAGGTGAATTCCTGATCAGCGGCTACATGACTGGTGAAGAGTAGTGCAACGGTATGCCCTGCGAGTGCGCTTGGAGGCATTATACCAATAGTCGATGGTGAAGATGAAAGTGAATTTCAATGTTTGATGACACAAAAAGGGGAGAAGTGCGTGATGTCGGCAATGTTACTCATCAATGTACAACCTTGTATACAGTGGCCGTTACTGCCTCAGGCCGCTCGGGCTCCTTCTAATATCGTCAACATCATTGGCCACCGCCGTCCAGAGCTTCCCGAGTTCCTTTGGTACGACGACCAGACATCGCCACCTCGCGACACCCATACCGCATACCACACACGAAATGGCATCGCCGCGAGCCATCACCGCGCTGGCGCGCTCGCGGCCCACCTACTCCCTCCTCAGCGCCGCAGCTGGACGCCCGGCGGCCTTCTCAACTGGGGTAGTGAGGCAAAGAGCGCATGAGGCAAAAGCAGAAGGACTACCTCCTCAAGGCTTCAGGCTGCCTACTCCACGGAAATGGAACGAGAACAAGGAGAGCATTTGGGATGCGGCAGGCAAATACTTCCTTCTCACCGAGATGGCGAGAGGAATGTACGTGCTCCTTGAGCAGTTCTTCCGCCCTCCGTAAGTTCTTCTTCGGCCATTGGACCTGCAGTGAAGGCAGGAGTACGGCAGTACTAAGATGGTGTCAATAGATACACCATATACTACCCGTTCGAGAAGGGCCCCATCTCCCCGCGCTTCCGTGGCGAACATGCTTTGAGACGATACCCCACGGGCGAGGAGCGCTGCATCGCCTGCAAGCTGTGCGAGGCCATCTGCCCGGCACAGGCCATCACAATCGAAGCTGAAGAGCGAGAAGATGGCAGCCGAAGAACGACGCGCTACGACATTGATATGACCAAGTGCATTTACTGCGGCTTCTGTCAAGAGTCTTGCCCCGTGGATGCCATCGTGGAGAGCCCGAACGCCGAGTACGCGACAGAGACGCGCGAGGAGCTTTTGTACAACAAGGAGAAGCTCCTCTCGAACGGAGACAAGTGGGAGCCGGAATTGGCAGCTGTGGCAAGAGCGGATGCGCCATACAGATAAAGCTGATGGCTGGAGGATGAGGTTCTGTTTCCTTGGAGTGCAAGAGATGGCACTCAACGATACCTAGGCAGGCAGTTCTCTATGTCGTTTGAAGTGCTACAAATGCTACAGATACTGTACATACGGACGGACGGTGCTTCCACGGCGATGAGCTGACCCTATAATGGAGGACATTGTAGATTGTATTTGTCCGTTCCAGCAAAGACAGCACAAATTCGGAGCTTACCTGATGCAACCCGCTGTCGAGTTTCTCACGTAGCATTAGCGCACTCGAGGACTCGACCATATGAGTGCCCCTGCCGCGTATACAGCCGCTTGAAACGTGCTGGTCCAGTCGTGGGCTTGACTGTGCATCGCACCCACCAGACTCCCCTCACAGTCCGCACGCTGCAGTGTAGTAGAAAGCACCTGGCACACTGGCCTGTCTGAACACCTTGCCGCTTCTCGACTCAGTCATCAGCGCTGCGAACTCATCTTTCCCCACAGCCCACGCCTGATCAATGCCTATGCGTACCTGAGTATAGTTGATCCCGATGCTTCACTTGTGGTCTGCTGCTACTGCCATTTGCATGTTCGAACAATTCCAAGCTTATTACCCATTCATCTCATCCGACCTGGCATGTCGAATGCCGTGCCGTCTCGTCTTGGTTGATGATTGTGATTGACAGCTCAGCCTCAATGGAAGATACTTGGCATGCCGTGCTGCCGTGCTGTCGTGCTTCAGCCTCTCCGATTGACAGCTTCATCAGCCTCAAACGTAGCAGAAAGCAGGCTTTTTGCTGAAAGATGAAACGAGCTTCACATCGAGCGGACTCGGCTCCTCATCAACAACCAGGCGGGAATACAGCGCCAACGGGCCATCCCGGCCATACAGGACAAGTACGCACGATGGTTTCATCATGCAGGTCCCTCAGGTTCTGTGACAGCAATAGTAAGGTAGACCCTCTCATCGCCATCGGACTGTCGCCAGATCGAAACTCTCCGAGGGTCTTCTCCGAGGGTCAATCTTGATACTCAGCCCGCGCAGGCTGTGCAATCCATAACACGAACCGATGCCACTAGTACCTAGGAGGTAGTATCCGCTTGGTCGTGGGCGGTCAAACTCCCCAAGCCATTCGCGTTTTCTCACAACCTTCCAGAAGCAGAACTAGCCTGACGAGAGCGCACACTACCTCCAACCTCCACTAGCAACTAGGGTCCGCAAACAAATCTGCCACCAAACCACGGCCCACGCACAACGGGAGCTCGTGCGGCTTGCGCGACTTCACCAGTGCACGACGCTCGGACGGCAAATTTTGAAACTCTTCTTCTCGACCGACATCAACCCGACTGCTGGTACGGAGCCTAGGAGGTATGATGATGATATCAGATTGGTTGATGCCCGTCTCGATATATCAGCGTGATACGCGTGTTATTCGAGCACTCGCAACGCTCATTTTGCGTTGGTCGAGAGAGAGAGAGATTGAAACACATCTGATGTATGTATGATTTTATTGTGGTTTTACGGAACGGTGAAAAATGCCTCGGGGAAACCGCACGGGTGACGGGACAATACCTGTGATATATTGGCTGGAAGCTCTAGGCGAGACGAGAGTTTACTGGGGAAAGCCATTGGTTCATTTGGACCTGTACCAACCCGCCCCAGGTGGACCACGAGCAGCGGTTCTTGTGTAGGGAGTGTAGGCTAAAATAATCAGGGTAACCTCCTCTCCTCTCCCTCGGCCGACTCTCCTTGTCTTGTGCCCTTCTCCAATATCACACCGTGCACACCCTCACCCTCACCCTCACCCTCCAGCTTTTATTATACCAGTCGTGCAAAACTGACGATCCGTCGGCCCGAGCAGCAGATACTGGAACGGGGACTCATCATCATCATCATCATCAGCCAAGCTTAGAGACATCGTACTAGGGTACCACGCGACACGAATCGTGGTCGCTGACGATCGTCCTCTCCCACTCACGGACTACTGCACAGACGTTGCCGACCTTATTACAGTCCTCTACTCTCTCCAAGCAGTGATATTGCTCAAAAACCCAAACGCCTGCTACTCGTGTGACCACATCATCGCTCAAACCCTTCTCCAACTACTGCTGCCGGATTCAGCATCAATTTTCCCCGCTTGAAGGAAACCAACAGAAGAAAAAAAAAGATATCACAGTCCCCTACCAAAGGTACCTACCTCCATCTCGGTCACCATCATGGGCCTCATCGACAGAATCAAGGCAAAAATGGAAATCCGCCGGCTGGAGCAACGCTACACCCGGCGAGAAAAACGCAGCACCTTCATCTCGGGAGCGCAATACGTCGATGGCGAATACGTCTACAACCACAACACGGGAGGAAGCAGTAGTGCAAATTCCTCCAGCAGTATTGGAAGCACCAGCAATCACCATCAGCCTCATCATCAGCAGCCGCAGCAGCAGCAGCATCATACCAATACCAATCATCGTCACAGTATGATCAACAACAACCACCACCACCACCACCACCATCGCAACAATAATGATCATTATGTCCCTGCGATTGGTCTCGGAAGCGTCGATAATAATAGCTATACACCTGCGAATGGCCATGGAAATGCTCATCATAGCTATATGCCTGCGAATGGGACGCCGTTTGCTGCCAATGGGAGTGCGAGTACGAATAAGAACAAGAGAATGTCTAGATTATTTGCGTAGTAGGAAATGTGAGAGATATGAGGGAAAAGAGAGAGAGCAAGAGAGCAGGAGAAGTGCAGAGCAGAGATGATGACGCACTTTCTTCTCCTTCACAGCAGGGCAATGCATGCATGCATTCAGTTGCCACCGGAAAAAGGTATTTACCCTCCATGAGAGGTGCTGCTGATGCTAGACTGCTGGTGCAGCCCCGTGCACTGTCTGAGCGCATGCGCGCGCCATCTCCGATTTGAGCCAAGCAAAGCAAAAGCAAGCATGCCCAGGACTGAGTGAGGACTGGCCACCCATTACTACCAAAGGTACCTACTTTACCTAGGCACCTTACATCACCGCCATGGATCCGGATCCATTCCATCTCTGCTGCTCCTCCGCCAAAACTTCAAGTCACTACCTACCATATACTTCCATCCATCCTTCTTCCAAGCCGAAAGGACAAGGAAGGAAATATTCACTTGCGAAAGAGAAAGAATTAAACTTCCATCCATATACGAGAAAGAATGGAAGGAAGAAAGCAAGCAAGCAACTTTGTTACCGCGCAAAGTACCTACCTACCTACCCATGGAAGGAAGAACTTTCTCTTTCTACCTTCAGTCTTCACCGCGCGGAATTTTGGATACCAATGTGATTGAGAGAAGAGTTATTTTCACATGCCCCTTTTCTTCTTCCTTTTGCATGAGGAGGAGGAAAAGGAGGAGCGAGAATCGAGAATCGAGAATCGACTACGGGCTTGAGATCACTCACTCACTCACTACATGGATACTATCGCCGCTGTACTCAAGTGCAAGTGCAAGTGCACAAGAGAAACGAGGGGAGAAAGGGTAGTATGAGTAGAAGGAAGTCGCGGAGGAAGGATGTTGGAAGAAGAAGAAGAAGAGATTGGGGTTGGGGTTGGGGTTACTCTCATTTCGTTGAGTGATGGCTCGAATAGGAGAGAGAGAGAGAGAGAGAGAGAATGCGTGTATGTGCGATGAATGAGGGATGATCAATCAATGCGTCGCCCGCGTCGGTGATTATGAATCCCAAAAAAGGCATTTTCTTTTCTTTTCTTTTTTTTTGTCACAAATCTACGAAACCATACTGTCTGTCCAAAGCTCGCTTCTTTTTTTTTCCGGCTATGTGTGCGATGAATGACCCATCACATAGAGAAAGTTCACATCATCTTACCTGCAGGCATTTATTGGTTTGATATAAAATGTACAACTGTACAGACAGAAAACTTGGCATTGATATTAAAGGATACATGTTACATACCTTGTGAACATATGAACATATGACTGGCATATGACCCATGATTGAACAAAATGTAGGTATCCGATGGGGTGAAAATTGACCATCGATGAGAGAGTTGAGGTTACTGACAATGGATGGGCTTGGCTTGGATGAGGAGAGTAAAAAATAGAATGGGAAGATACACCTAATGGTGATGATACAACTCCGTTGCTAGAGTTTGATTTGTGCGAAACTTCATCACTCATCGCCTCGTGTGAAATGTTTGGTCAGTCCAATCTTCGATCCGTAGCAAGCACTCTTCTCACGCGCATGCCTGCATCATGCTTTCGCACGAGCGGTGCTGCGCTTTCAGGATCACCTGATGCAACCTCAGCACGGTCACTTTGCTCCTGCGTGTTGCTGTCGTGCGGAGACGACTCGCCGCCATTCGCGAGGACCGATCTTCCATAGTCATGGAGAAGTTCTCGCTGACGCTGATCCAAGAGATCTGGACGTCCAACGATATGTGTCAGAAACGGTTCATACGCCCGAGTAGGATCTTCCGCTGCGGTCATCTTGTGGACCCACTGCTTGAGAAGTACTTGGGTCCGGATCATGGTCCCCAGTATATGTTTGATGGCATGCGTCCGTGACCCTAGGTCATTGCTAGGATTTGCAGGGTCTTGCAGGGTCAACAGGTAGGGCTGGTGTTCATTGCGTTGACACAGACGCCATTGCGCGGCCCGCACTTGGTCACCTCTACGTTGTGTTGAGGCCATGTAGCGGTTGAACTGTGGCTGAGGATCGTGTTTCTTGAACCTCTGACGTGGAAAGCAGGATACACCGTGTTCGGCGGGATTGATTGTCTTTCTCGGATCGTAGTATGCGAGAAAGCGACGCAGCAGGCCAACTGTCTTCGTGCCGTCATGCACAGAAGTTGGAATGGAGTCCGACCGCGGCCGCAGTTGCGGAGGCAGAAGCATTACGAAGCAGCCATACGAGCCAATGCCTCCATTATGGACGGATAGAAGGCCCCTGACTTCGAAAAAGGTGCGCATGACCACGAAGAGATCGTAGAGGTAGGGAATCTGAGCGAGGTAGCTACGAGTAGCTTCTTCCTGAGGTTTCGAGGAGCTTGTCGCCACGATCTGGAAATCGAGGCCGGAAGGCTTGTGATGAAAGTTGATGATGGGGTGGAAGCTGTCACGAAGCGTGACCGTGCTGAAGTACTGTGGCTCCTTGCGCAAGGCCTTGTATATGTGGCCCATACGGCTGTACATCCTTTTTGAATACTCGAACGGTGGTTTCCTGGTTGTCTTCCCGTCTGTTGCCCATATGCGAAGGTCGACATCGGATGTTGCCATTGCAAGACCATTCCTCTCAGAACCATGAACCTCGAGGCTCGTGAAAGCCTGCACAGGAGGTGACAAGCTTTCATGGATGAATTTTCGGACTTGTTCCGTGGCCGCCTGCCGCGCAATGCGTTCCACTGGCGTCGGTTTCATGAACTCGACGAACCGTGAAATCTCAATATTCAGCCAATTGACGGCGTTTCCGTCGCCACTTGTTCGGGAGAGCCGCAGTTCTTTCGGCTGCACTTCCCACGGTGCTGGAGGAAGCGCACCTTGCTCAGCAGTAGGCGCACGAGGCAAGATGACCATAGGAGCGTAATCAAAGGCGAGCATTCGGGTCTGTTGATCCAGTGCCGAAATCGCGCTGTGGTCGCTCTTCTCGTGATGCAGTTCGCGACGTAATGTGGCTAGCTTGCTAATATGGGGCTTCCAGCTCTCTGCGTCTAGAAATCTTTCGCCACGGTGACATCGAAACCAGACCCTGGGATCCGACAAAGAATACATACAGTTACCATTGGCAAGCCTATCAGCAGCATGAGCCAACATGCGAGTCGCAAGGCGTTTGCTTCTGTCGCGTTCTTCCATGAAAGAGAGAGACTCCACGGTTGCCGTGCTGTCCTTCTTCTCGTCCTCGTCCTTCTCCTCGTCCTTCTCCTCGTCCTTCTCCTCCTGGCCATGTCGAGTATGCGTCTGCGTGTGAGCCTCCTCGGCCTGCAATCGCTGTTCGCAATGTCCGATACCTTCTTGTACGATCTTCTTGCTCTTGCCATGGCCTGGACCGGGCGCGACCGCTTTGACAGTGGCCTTCTGGTCTCCTTCCGGAATACGTGTCCCGTTAAGTGTCATCTCTCCCCATTCTGTTGCCTCCCACGATGATGCAGTGCGTTCATCTTCGCTTTTTCGTGTTGCAGCGATGCCAAATGCTGCTCGTAGAGCCAGCGACGGACTGTAGGCATTGCTGGCTCGACATGCTGCGCGCCACGCAATTCGCCGGCATTGCATGAGGATGTGAAGCTGGTTGATATCTCCACCTCCAGGCAACTACATGTAGGAGGTAGAACCGTAGCTGTGGTGAACGACGGGAGGCTTTGAGCGTCGGAGGTCTACACTCTACAGCTACCAGGCAACCAGGTACCCGAAGCCATCTTGCCTTGGCACGCTATTCCTCATTCGTGAGCGTGGCATGCTCTCCACTCCCTTGAGGTCACTTACCATATCTGAAAAGTACACTACATGTAGTCAGTCACACGTGGATGCATTGAATTTGAGGGAGGCAGGAAAGGAGAGGGCATTCCAAGTCTGTCTGGTCCTGTCTGTCGGGCACATCGTCTACTCGTTCTCTCTATCTATGCGTGCGACGCGTCTAACAATCGTATTCCACCGTTAAGGTATGTATTCGAAGTTGCCATTTCTTCCCGCCTCGACTCCCTACATGAACCTCCTGTTGAACATCGTCATTACAAGACAGGCCTCGAATCCGGGATGGCGCCGTCAACAGCCGCCACAGCGCCCGCATTACCAGCATCGACACTGCCATTCAACAGCCCAATGCAGGAAATCACGTCCGAGGGCTCCAGAAGATGCCACGAAGCGAGTGTCTGCTTGGTTTTAGCACCGACCGTGACGGCGAAGCGGTGGCCTTCAGGCAACTTGGATTGACGGAGTGTGCGGAACATGTCTATTGCAGAGTTAGCCTTGATCCACACGTGCACGACCTCTGCACGGGCCCGTCCATTCTCACCTTCATCTGTGAAGTCATCGCCGGCGCACAGAACAAAGTCCGGTGCCTCGTGCGTGGCTTCACCATACTCGCGGACTAATCGCTTGGCAATCTCGCCCTTGTTCACAAAGCGTGGGCGCACTTCCAGATTAGCCTTGCCAGTCATGACCTCCACTTCCCACTCCTTCGCCACCGTGTTCTGCAGATGCTTCTGACATTCCCGCGCCATGAACGCTCCATACTCTGGGTCAGCGCGTCGGTAGTGCCAGGTCAAGGCGATCTTCTTGCGTTCGATAAAGCTGCCCTGCGTCCGCTCCGAGTAGTGATTGAAGACACGCATGACCTCGCTTTGCCATGACATATCCAACGTCACCGTTAGATTCTCCCACTCACTCGAATTCGGGGGCCGCATGAAAGACCCATGCTCAGCAGAGAGGCCAAGCTCGGAAATGTGCCCCATCCACTCGTCAAGGAATGCTTGGTCACGTCCACTGATAATCCACACTTGATTCAACGGGTCCGACGCGAGCGTCTTCAGTGATCGAATGACTTTATCCGATGGTATCGCGGCGTTCGGATCGCGCACGATAGGCGTAAGCGTGCCATCATAGTCGAACATGAAGAGGCGGCGAGTGGAGTTGCGATATTGCTGCAGCAGCTTCGCACGATCCAGGACAGGCGTGGCAAACGACTGGTCGTAGGACGCGAGATTGGTGAGGAGACGTTTGATATAACTGGTGGTCCAGTGTTGCACCGTGTTCTGTGTCACGTGCTGGTAGAGTAGTTGATGCTGTTGTCTCTTCTCAGCCTCGCCCATTTGAAGTGCCGCGTAAATCTCGTCTGCTGTCCCGCCAAGGTCCCAGGGGTTGATATGAATCGCATCAGCGAGGCAACCGGCAGTACCGGAAAACTCGGAAATAATCAGGGGCCCGTGGAAGTCGCGCTGGCAGGCAACGTATTCGAGGGCAGTAGTGTTCATGCCATCGCGAACACTCGTGATCAGACCGAGGTCTGCAATGCGAAGGAGCGCAAAGTACTCGTCTTCTGACAAGTATTGGGGATAGTGCTGAACCGGTGTGAAGCTCAAGGAGCCGTATGTGCCGTTGATTCTAGCAACAAGTTCTGATATCTTGTTCGCCGTTTTATCACCCTTGTCATCGCGATCCTCAATACTAGTGGGGCTCGTGACCTGGATGAGGACGACTTTGTCGTGCATGTCTGGATGTCGCTCCAGGAAAATCTCAAAAGCCTGGAGCTTCTGAGCCACACCTCGGACTGTGTCCAAGCGGTCACGGCCGACGATGATCTGCTTGCCCTGGTACTGTTCGCGGAGAGATTGCATCTTGAGGTCCACATCCGGAGATTCGAACGCAGTCTTGATAGTTGCCTCTGCATTTATGCCAATAGGGAAGACATCGACCGGGACATGCGCTCCATAAGCGTCGACACCGGCGGAAGAGGAGTCGAATCCAAGAATCCGCGTACAGCATGAAGAGAAATGACGGGCATAGCTGTATGCTTGGAAACCGATCATGTTCGAGCCGAGAACGCCCTCCAGTATTTCTTTGCGGCGAGTCAAACACCTGTAATACTCGCTACTTGGGAAGGGCACGTGCAAGAAGAAGCCAATGTAAACATTTGGCAGACGCTGTCTGAGTAAGCTGGGTAGAAGGAGAAGATGATAGTCGTGAATGAGAATGATGTCGCCGGGCGTGTACACGTTAATAATCGCTTCCGCAAACGCTTTGTTCAACAGGTAGTAGTCAGCCCAGGTCTTGCGGAGATCTCGGCCATCACTTGGTTCGTTTTGCTTGTAGTGAAAAAGTGTGAACAATTCGTGTTCTGCATAGCGTCTCCAACGTGACTGATCGCGGAAAGTTGCGACTTCCTCCTTATCGATTTCGTCCCAGAGCCAGACAGGAGAGACGTGGCCACCAGCGGCCATTTCGAGCTTCTTTTCGAGTTTCCGTCGATCTGCCAGAGGCACATGAAGTTCCGCTACGTCCGTGGGCTGCGGTGCTTTGTCGCCCCGGTGGACGGGTATCGGTGCGGACTGCTTATTGAGCGGGATTGAGTCCATCGAAGTAATGCCGTTTGTCCCTGCAGAATGATCGTCATCTTTGCGATGGAACACGCGATCGATCTCTCCGGTCCAGCCTACGAGAGTGTGTTTCCAGGGAGATTCCTCGGACGCGAGCCACGAAAACGAGTCAAAGAGGGCGGAGGTTCCTCTCCGCGATTTGAGTTCCTGCACCTGTGTCAGCCCCCATCCAGAACACAGCCCAGCAGTGCTACTTACCCATTCTCCCGAGGCAGTATAGCCCACCTTGTATGGTACAGCGAAGGTCGCACTAATGATGTTGCCACTCAATCCCAGTCCCGGATGGGCTGTACGGGGATCGATGCCACCAAGATCGGGCTTTGACTGTGATCCCGTGAGACTCAAGCGACGGAGAAGGTCTTCACCAGTCCTCGCTCCAGTTGCGGCTTGGTGAGCGCCACGAGGTGCGTTGGCTGAACCCGCTCGATCTGCAAAATACTCCTGTGGTCTGTCGGCACCAACGGCTTCGAGAATATGGCGTGGCGGATGACCAGAGCCCGTGCTTGGGCGGGAGTAGGACTCCTCTGAAGGGGTCACCGGAATGCTAGTGATGTCCTCGCGCAGGTGAGCTGGGAGATTGGTATCCAGCCTTTCGGCGGAGGCATGATTGCTGTTCGACATCTGCCAGTCCCGATGCAAGAATCTGGCTCAGGATGCTCCCACTGCATAGCCAGAAGTCAGTAAGACTGCTGAGTCGTGGACAATGATCGGCACCGCCCGTAGGCACAGGATGACATTGGCAAGCTCCAGCGAAACGGTAGGTACAGGGAATTCCCGCCCATTCCAGAGCAAGAGCAAGAGCAAGAGCAAGCGTGATATTAGTGCAGGATAGGGAAGGTTTGTTGTCGTAGAGAAGGAAGGGCCAAACTCACAGTGATGCCTGCCGCCTGGACAGCAATCGGGCGAAGTCGACTGTCGACGTCGAGATTCTTCTGGAAGCGGCAATTGGCTGCCCTGCGCTGGGAGACTGATGCGGCGCACCGGGCAGTTGCACAACCTGAGAACAAGTGATCAGGTGATTCCCAGAAGAGGCCGAAGAGCTGACGACGCGGGAGGATCGGGCGTAAGCGAGAAAAGAAGCATTCAGAAGGTCAATGGAAGGTCCATGAAGCAGAAGGTACGCACGGTAGCACTTTCCCGATTCTTCTCGTGAGGATGGCACGCGAGTGGGAGTCGAAGGTCGCAGAGAAGGCAGGAACCAAAGAAGGTTTCGTGGATCGGACCGAAGGGCGTCGCCTAGTTCTGCCAGCTAGGAGCGGAGCCTAGGAGGTAAGTCACTACCAGGTAATAACACACAATCTCAGGTACAATGACATCCATTTGATGATTGCGAAGACGCGCCACTACATCTCCTCACCGTCATGGAACAGGCAACGGGCAACAGACGACAGTTTTCGCCCAAAGTATTTGCTGCACACTGTACCATCAGTGTCTCGTGATTTGCCCGGAGATGCCTCAGGCTGGTTTCAGTCTTTCGAGTCTACCTACTTGACCACCGTCTCTCCATGCCGCGTAAGGGGGTGCGACAGCCCAAGGTGGCTACTGGTATCCTTAGTCGCCCGAGACGGCTTTGATCACAGTATTACGACATAGATGATAGATCTTATCACCTTCCAGTGCCCCCCCGATATTCACCGGCTGTCCCCGGCGCCTTCGTCGCGGTAGGTGGTAGGTAGTCCTCTGTCGATAATCATCGATATCCTCTCCTAAGTCTCCTTTCAGACCGTGGTCTTTTCAGATGATCGGATATACAAGCAAGCAGTCTCCTTCGTGTGCTCTGTCACGCGTCTCGATAATACAGTAGCAGAGACGTTGCTAGACCCGTAGATCAGCCCGTTGACCGCCTCCTGCTTGCCCATCTGACGGTGCTGGCCAGCAGACATGTGGTTTCATAGGTACATCTATAGTGGTAGTGGGGCAACTGGCAGCCAGTGCCAAGCTGGACGAGCAACGAGGGAGGGGTTCGCATTTTCGAAGCTGGAAACAACAACGAGAGTTTCCGTTTCTCTGTTTTGACACAACTGACAACCACTGAGACCGCGCCCCCCAACACTCGACCAACACCCCCATCTTCACCATGGCAGAAGCAGTTGTCGGTGAGTGGCCTGTCTAGAGAAGCACGCACAACTCACACGCCAATGACTGACTGGTGCTGCAGACTATTCGCTCAACAACCCTGATACGTGAGCGCTCTTGGCTCGAAAACGCACCCCGTCAAACACCACTGACATATGTGCAGTCTCACCAAGTACAAGACCGCTGCCCAGATCGGACAGAAAGTCCTCGAGGCCGTTTCAGGTCAGTTTCGACAACAACTCCTTCGAGCACACCAAGTTGACACGGCCCAGGATGGATCACTGAAGGAGCAAAGATTGTGGACATTTGCCAGCGCGGTGACAAGCTTCTAGATGAGGAGGTCGCAAAAGTCTACAAGGGCAAGAAGATCGCGAAGGGCATCTCACACCCGGTAACAATCTCGCCGAGCAGCTATGTCACACCCTACACTCCACTCGTGTCAGACACCGAGGAGGCCGAGACAACGCTACAGGCTGGCGAACCGATCAAGATTCAGCTCGGTGCCCAAATTGATGGTTTCGGTGCGATAGTCTGTGACACAGTCTTCGTGCGTGCGAAGGGCGACTCCGAGAAGACATTGTCGGGACGAGAGGCAGATCTGGCACTCGCAACATACTACGCCAACGAGCTTCTCCTCCGCTTAGTCGCGCCCCCAGGACTGATTGCGTCTGGTACCGAAGAAGAGCAGAAGAAGGCGCAGTCACAAAAGCCATACAGCCAGGCAAAGATTACGCAACTGCTCGAGAAGGTTGTCAAGAGCTACGATTGCAACCTGGTCGAGAATACAACCTGCTGGCTGTTTGACCGTAATGAGATCGAGGGCGCGAAGAAGATCATTTTGGGTCCAGGCGAGGGAGTGAAGGGCGAAGGTCTTGCCGAAGTCGGAGAAGTTTGGGGTCTTGAAATTGGTGTCAGCACTGGCACCGGCAAGGTCAAGACGTTGCCCAAGAGAACGACACTTCACCGACGAACCAAGACCACTTATGGCTTGAAGCGCCCAAGTTCAAGAGCCACGCTCTCTGAGATTCAGAAGAGGTTTGGCACGTTCCCATTCAGCTTGCGACAGCTCGAAAGCGAAAAGGATGGCAAGGTGGGCGTGATTGAGTGCGTCCGAGGGGGTGTCGTCCGAGCGTACGAAGTTGTTGGCTCGACAGACGGCGAGCCAGTCAGCCGTCTTTTCGAAACTATCGGTAAGTGATGGGATGAGCATTCGACATGAGAGGGTCCAAATCTTGACGTCCAACTGCTAACGCACCGCAGCCATCACGAAGAACGGCGTGCAAAAGCTTTCGGCGCCGCCAACTCCGGACCTCTCCCAATGGAAGTCTGATAAGAAGATCACCGATGAAGAGATTCTCAAGATCCTAGAGCTGCCTCTGAACAAGAATAGCACAAAAGCAAAGAAGCCCAAGTCCAAGAAGAAGAAGGCTAAGAAAGCCGCACCAAAGGCTGCCGAGGAGGTGGAGGAGGACTCCGACGAGGAGGAGGAGGAGGACAGCGACGATGATGAGTAAAAATCACGCTAATGACAGACACCTCTTCGTAGGTGATGAGTGGCCTACCGGCATGCTGCACGGCATTAGATTTCGCCCCTTGTGGCAAGCTCTCTGCTGTGGCGAAGGCGTACCACCTAGTCCTAAATCATGGAACAGATCTTTGGGGGAGACAAGCAGTAGGAGTCATACACGACTCTCTCCGTTATCCATCCAGAGTGAGTAGGTCAGATAGTATTGGCGTCCAGCCTAATACCGAAAGGGTTCTGATGTCGTGTACACCTGATCCTCTGTCCCAACGTCTTGTAGTCCTATCAATCGCATACATGTTCAGAAATCCCAACTACGATACAAGCTGGAAAACCTTTGAAACGTTAGATGATGAAATATCAGGCCGGAGGTTGTATTGATTACCGGATACTGCTGGGAAAGTAGGTACAGTACCTTGGATGTTGCGTGTTCCAGTGGTTTTGAGATCGTCGAAGCTTGAGCGGAATCAAGGAGCACAGGCGAACCTCGACTTCTAGATCTATAGACCTACGTATAGACCACGCGCATACCCTCGCGTAGTGTGCTTTGCAACACTTCGCCTACGCCTGCACAGGCTAGCATCGTCCTGGGTAATACATTTGAACGCGTGCGCATTATATTGGCTATGGCTAACCTGTGCACAGAGGCGACGGCCGTCCATCCCCTTCTCGTGCACCGCTCGCGCAAACAATGCCAGGCACTACCACTCCTCAAGCCGAGCGCAATATATCAGCACAACGCAGCGGCGGGAGTTCGAGCAAAGCTGTGCCCAAGGACCTGTCGAAAGAGAAGACCTTTATGGACCGATGGGTGGAGCCTTCACTGGCGAAGAAGGCGTCATATGAAGACCATGGCGCATCGGCGTACGGAGTGCTAGAACACATGCAGCCTTTGGGCGAGCTTCCCAGCGCCAAGTTGAAGCAGCGAGTGAAAGGAGGAGCAGGAGGAGGAGGAGGAGTGGGAGTGGGAGTGGGAGGAGGGGGAGGAGGAGATGGATCGCGAAAGTCAGTGCTAGGGCGCAGCTCTGCCGCTGTTGGAGGGGAGGCTCTCAGCACTCCTGAGGGCACACCAGCGCCAGGGGCGACAACACCACTTCCTGTAGAGCCACAGCCCACGCAGTCAATCATTATTGATGACGAGAAGGACGACGACTACGCGCCTACGAAGAATGGTAAGAAGAAGGAGCGTTCTGCGCGCCCACGAGCCGTGAAACGGAAAAGCGAACCCTCAGAGTCCGCACCACCTGCACCTGCTCCTCCCTCTGCTGGCGCGACAAAGAAGAAAGCCGCTGGCAAGGCTCGCGTAGCACAGTTTGAATACGATGGCGCCAAACTGAGGCGTGTTGTCGAGGCTGCGAAAGCACGTGCCGTCGAGGTTGGCAAACCCGATCTTGCTGATGCGGTCAACGAGATATACGTGCAAAGCCTTCACGATAAGAGACTGCGCGAACTTCTCGAGGCCATCCTCACGCAGAATGCTACAGCGGAGCAGAACCAGGAGTTCCAAGACTATGTCCGAGCTGCAAAAAGGAAACTGAAGGATGCCAAGCACAAGGCGCGGCAACAAGCGGCAACAATAGGAAATAATGGAGAGGCTGGACAATTGACACCATTGACACAACTTCCCACGAAGAATTTGACTCTGCCACCTGCACCGACCTCGTTTGCTTCGGGACCTTCTGCAATACCATCAACTGAACGACTTGAACCTACAAGACCCAAAATCTCCCTCAAAGTCAAGTCACCAGCCAAAGATTCCAATCGCCATCGCTCTGGCAACGGCAAGATGTCACTCTCACCAAGAAAGCGCTCCGGCAGTGCAGGTAGCGACTCGTCTCTCACATCGCTTACTTCGAATGAGGATGATGGCGAGGAGCTCAACACGCCGCCTCCTTCGGGCAGCGGCTTTGCTGGTCCAACTGCTCGTGTCAATGGCGTCCAAGGCCCAGATCATGCTGCAGAACGAGGTAGCTTGACAGTTCCGCCCGCCTCGAACAAACGGTCGTCAGCGGATGCAGAATTGGAGAGCGAGCAGGATCGCGCTCTTGCCGCTAAGAAACAAAAGCTCAGCGAAGGTCTTGCTCGAGATTACGAGTACCAAGAGAGCAGCGTTCGGCCTGCACTATCTCAGCCACGGTCACGCGTGCAACGGATGAGGGAGAGTGCTCTCGCACCGCCCTCGACGAAGCCGGAATCGCATGGAACTCGAGCTGCCAGCGTGCGAGGAGGCCGTGCGGTCTCCACGGATCTTGACTCACCATTGTCTGACATGTCGCCCGCGAATTCACGACAGAACACACCCAAGCTCGGCAGGCCACTACCCAAGCCACCGGGGAAGAGAGCGAAGACCAAGCAATCGTAAGTTATCCTTCCTTTCTCAGCGCGTAAGCACATGATTACGACGCAAGGGTCGTCCCAGGTCACGTGTCTGGATGCTGGAACGCGTTCGGACAGTGCGAGACTTGGGAAAGCATCGCGAAACAGAACTTGAAAAGCAACAGCTGACAATCCACTCTCATCAGGCCGGAAAAGCGACATCTGGCGGCCAACCGTGGCATGCCTGGCGTTGGTGGCGCAGGAATCGACAGTCCAATCGGGGATGATGACAATGAAACGGTAAGACAACGCGCAAGGCATCGCGCTAATCCCCCCTCGTCCTTCGCTTCGAGTCAACACTCTCCCACACCAACGACACCATTACACACTCCATGCATCTCCCTCAGCGGCAACTTCCGCCGCGCTCTTCACGCTGTATGCAACTTGCATACAGTAACGCAATCGACCAGAACCATCTTCTGACGCCAGACTCACAGCGTTCCGAGAACAACGACTTTTGTTCGGCTTGTCGCGGCAATGGCTTTCTTCTGTGCTGCGACGGCTGTGACAGATCATTCCACTTTACATGTCTTGATCCGCCCATCAGCGACGAAGCGAAAGAACTGAACGAGCCGTGGTACTGCTACATCTGCGTGTCTAAAAAACCGCTCGTTGCCGAGTCTCCAGAGAAGAAAGACTCGACGGGGCTGTTCGGACCACTCCTATCCAAACTGAAAAAGGCCAACCCGAAGAACTTTGAGCTGCCAGCCTACATCAAGAACTTTTACGATGGTACAGGCGCTGACAGGAACGGGTCCTTCATGGATGCTGTCAGTGGCAAGCCCACAAGGTAAGTTCATTCTTGTCGATGGAAATATCAGAGCTGACATCATTCTCGCAGAAGCCGGCCAGGCTACTCAGACGACCAGCCCGACTACTACAAAATACGTGACGGCAAAGGCAACATCGTGCTCTGCTATCAGTGCGGACATTCATCACACCAAATTGGTGGCGCGAAACGTGCCATTGTGACCTGCGACCACTGCAACCAGCACTGGCATCTGGATTGCCTGAGTCCTCCGCTGGCGAATCCTCCTGCCCTCAATAAAGATGGCAAGAAGGTCCACGACTGGATGTGTCCGCTTCATATTGATCAGGCTCTGCGTCAAGTTGATGTTTCGTCCTTGAACCGAGCCACGAGCCGCCAGATCCATGTTCGGAAGCCGAAGAATCCGGTCGTTGCCGAGACAGCTCTCAGCCGAGGGCACCGCAACAATGGTATCATTGAAGTGCTCGACGATCAATCTGACGGGTCCGACTCGGAATTTTATGATCACGAAGAAGACAACAAGGTCTACAGGCTGCCAGCCACTGGTATCAAGCTTGACTTCATTGACAAGATCAAACAGTATGTCCACAGATCTGTTGCTACTAGTGAGCAGCAAGGTGCTAACGTCCACACAGTACCCGCATACAGCAACTTCGTGACGAGCGTGCACATCAGCGATTTGCGATACAAGTCGCCCCCACCGTCGTGCCGAGCGCCCTGGAGCAAGCCAACTTTGCGAAACGCCCCTTCAACGAGAAACAGCTCGCCCTCAACCTCGCTCAATTTGCTAGCGATCATCAGGATCTCGACTTGGGCGAGGACCAGGTGGAGAATTTGGTCGGCGCACTGATTGTAAGTCTACACTGCCCCTTGCTACTTGGCGACGTGACGTCGGCAGTGAGTGGTACTAATTACATTGCCCACAGGCCGAAGCTCCATCTGTGGTTGTGATGGAGATGATGGCCGCGGAGGACGCCGAGAAGACCAAGACCACGTCTTCGGCCGCGCCACCATCACCGCCAGCGAGCGAACAGACTGCCGAGCTCAGCGCAGAGCAACGGAAAGAGCTGCGTATGTTGCAAGAGCTCATACGCAGGAAGCTGGACAACAGCAAGACTTGAAGTGTTACATGTCTAGACTGAGATGGAACTGTTACGAGAGAAGGCTAGGGCGCGTGGCGCCAATGGCTGCTCAGCTTTGTCTGGGGATAATGACGGTCGCACCTCGACCAAGTCCAACTTGCTTGTCCCCCATTGACGAGAGTGCTGCGCGTATGAAGCGGCACGGCGGTCAAGGGGATGAGAGGAGGACATTTGAGATCAGAGCAGTATGGACAACCAGGCATTTTCGAACCGTCCCCCCACTGGGGATTCTCAATAGATTGAACGGGGGCGAACAGAAATATGAATAATAAATATTCTCGTCCCAGGCGATTCCCAATTTCTACAGCAGCTGTGACTGACTACTTCTTAAGGGTGGATGACTTTCTACTATGTTGGACAAGCCCCAAAAAAGAGAAAAGAAAAGACCATCAGAGCTCCAACCAAACTTCTACCTACCTGACCTTACCTACCGCCTACCTTATCCAAACTCGGCCCTTGCCAAGGGTTGGTTGGGTACCTAGGTAGGTATCTAGTCGACTAAGGTAGGTATTATGACGGTTGTAATATTATACCTTACCCTCTCTCTGGAACAAATCGTTCGTATTCTACCTTGGGTGGTTACAAGTAATAAATACCTACCTGTATTCAACCGCGCGCCCGGGGGGAAGGAAGGGGGGGTTTCCTTTTTTTATTGTATGATGGTGGGTAGTATTGATTCTTTCAATTTTACCTCACATACCTACATTATACTTTCTTTTCCTTCTTGTTACATAGTATCAGTCAGTGGGTAGGTAAGGTAAGTATCAAGTTTGTATATATTACTGACCTCTCTCTCTCTCTCTCTCTCTCT